ACAATGATATAAATGGAACTTTAACACTTTTTTAAGTGTTACAGTGATATTTCGTTGGCCTCCGTATTAGCGCATTGCGCCGAACGCGGATAGCATGATGTTGTAGTCGCAAGGGAGCAATTGATTCGAATAGACGTATTGTACCGTACCGCATCATATTGTATTTCAAACTTTTATATCATTAGAATTTATATGTATACATATGTATATTCCTATAAACATGCGTCAAGTAATATAAGCTTCATTTCATCGAATTGTCTTAAATACAACTGCATAAATATGGTACAATCCTATACTAATTATAGCTGTATGGTTCAACAGGTTACTACAGAAACTAACTACTGCCTACGTCTTTTAAACTTGGGCTGTAGTAGTATCTGCAGAAACTGCCATGGTTGCTGGGGTTACTATATAATTTGCTCACGGAAGCACGCACAAGTGTCAGTCCCAATTCGACAGTTGCACGAGCAACATTCGACCGAGTTCGAGAATTGTACGTTCTTATTACTTTTTTGGTTAATTGATATCAAGAATAGGAGTGGAGATAGTGCCGGGATTAATGAATAACGCATATGTATGATTTGACTGTTCTTTATTGAAAAAAACGTACGAAAATATACAATTTACAATAGTATTTCTATAAATTTAACAACAATTGCCTCAAGTACTACTTAGATACATGATATGACAATTTATTTATAATAATATTTGTATAGATTCAGTAGAAACACGCTCTGGTGTTATTCAGGCTTATAAAATATTGTAATTTATCCGTCGCAAATAATTCCCTCTTCTGTAACTTGCAAATCTTCCGTAGGATCTTCAAAGCTTCAGAAAGGTTTCATAAGTTGGAGGCCGAAATGTTGATTACCGCTGGCATTCGATAGACTTGTGTAATAATTTGCAGTAGTCCTCTGTCGGATTCAAGCTGTTGTTATTACGTGTAGATTACGGGACAATGAACGGTAGTGAAATGGCTTGCGTCAGTAGACATTTGAAACGTGATCCTTTATGGCCGTTGCTCGTACAAATCTCTAGCTCGGTCGAATGTTGCTCGTGCAACTGTCGAATTGGGACTGACGCTTGTCCGTGTTCCTGTGAACAAATTAGATAATAACCCCAGCAACCATGGCAGTTTCTTCTTAAAAAAATCTGTATAAATAAGTACAATAATACGCACGTAATTAATTTTCTTAATAAAAATGATATTTTAATTTATTCTTGTATCAACAGCCTGGAAGCTCGTGAAACCATAGTCTCGATTCATAAATTAATATCAATATTCTAAACATTACATGAATTGGTAACGTATACGTAAGAGACCCCGTGTGAGTGGCGTGGGGTCATAGAACCCCCGGTGGAGGCGCCAGAGACCCCGTCGATTGAAGGAGTGGTGTCCCAGCACCCCCACAGGTGGCGCCAGAGACTACGTGAGTTGAACACGTGGGGTCCTAGAACCCCCGGGGGCGGCGCCAGGCCCCGTCTTGTGAGACGTGGGGTCATAGAGCCCCCAGTGGTGGCGCCAGAAACCCCTTGTGATGAGGTCGTGGGGTCGTAGAGCCCCCAGTAGAGGCGCCAAAAACATCGTATGGTGAGATTGTTGGATCATAGAGCCCCCGACGCATGCCGTATACAGTGAAGGAATAATTAGAAACAATGAAGAATAATGATTAATTTAATGATTATAAATTATAATCTACATGTTACCTAACGAATCGTTCTTTTAGAATTTCTTGTTTTTTTCTACTGATTTTTACTAACACGAATAGTAATGTAATTCATCTTACAATCATATTGAATACGTTTTTCTGTTTAAAGATCAAGGACTTACGATCGTAGTGAGCAAATTCACTCAAGATAAGTGATTCGGCGATCACTGTGATAAATCACCGTTAGTGATTTTATTTTGCTCCCAAATTGCTCCCTCGGAATCTAAAATTGCTCCCATCGCAGTGTTTATATTTAATGAGATATTCGCAAATGAAAAAGCAAAAATTTGTTGTTTGCAAAATAGATAGTAAATAGCTAAATATGCTTCCTTCATATTACAAGTGTGAAATACAATGATTTCGTGGGAACAACCATGCATTGCTTTTTCTACATATGTATCCTACGATTGAAATAAAGATGTACGAAACTATGTACCAACTATATTTACTTCCCTACCTTAGTTTTTATAACTCCAGATCGGACTACAGCATTATCAGCTTCACGGTTACGAAATCAGCGATTAATAAAAATATTAAAAGTTATAACAAAAAACAGATGACTTGATCTTAGTTATCGCAAAGTACTTGTATTAAAATGAATCTCTTATCTAATAACAGTTCGCTTCACTTCTCGGCAGCAAATCGAATCTTACATAGTATTAATGAGATAACGCATATGTACTTAAATGTTTATATAATATGATAAAAGAAGCGTAGTTGATATTTTCGCGTTTAAATAGGCTCGCATTCCACTTAGATGTATCATGTTTTCTTGAACCATCCAATTAAATTATTTATGAAGTATCGAACACTAGTATCGCAAAGTTTCTTTTGCTGAAAATGGAAATTTTTATTACGGATATCGATGTGAAGGACGTAAGATTCCCAACGTCTCTATTGGCAGATGGTAGCGATGCTATGGTAAGCAAATATTACAAGGATATTTATATTAGTGCATTGTACAGTAATTATTAAGTAATCTCTATTATTCAAAAGATAAAGTATTATTTAAATTGATCTTTATCAATTTATATCGGTCTACAGCACACAGATCCAGATTACTCCTGCGCTTACGTGACACTAAAGACTAACAAAGGGATCGAGGGATATGGATTAACATTCACTTTGGGCAGAGGAACAGAAATTGGTATATTTTTCAGAATTAGTTTATGAATTCCCGAATAAATAATCATAATACACATGATATGACTCCTTTTACAATATTTACAACCATTTCTGAACACATTTTCAGTTGTTCAAGCATGCAAATCGATGTCTTATTTAGTAAAGGGCCAGAAAGTTACCGAAATTTTTGCAAATTTTGGATCATTTTGGAGGAAATTAACTAGCGAAACGCAATTAAGATGGGTAAGAATTACAAAATCTTTTTGATATTAATTAATATACCTAAAAAAAAGTCATCGGACATTAATTCATACCTGAAGTAATCTCAAATGAAAGGACGCCATCTTGGTACTCGGTAGCAATTGTAGTTTAAAGTAAAAAAAGTTCCATCAAACAAATATTCATAAATGCTAACAAAATATTACGAAATATAGCTGGGACCAGAAAAAGGCGTCACTCATCTAGCCACAGCGGCCATAATAAACGCTTTGTGGGATCTTTGGGCCCGATTGGAGAACAAACCAGTTTGGAAATTACTGGTAGATCTAACTCCTGAGCAATTAGTTTCTACGATAGATTTTAGATACATGTAAGTCAGAAAACATTCAATTTTAAAGATTAATTTTACTTAATCGTATGTAATTGAATAGCACCGACGTTATTACCAAAGAGGAAGTGATAAAAATGCTCAAGGAGAGCGAAAAGGGGAAGACGGAACGGGAAGAATTGTTAAAGAAAAATGGGTATCCGGCGTACACCACGCAAGTGGGTTGGCTCGGGTACAGCGATGAAAAAATGAAAACACTTTGTAAAAAGTTCTTGGATCTCGGTTTCACGTCGTTCAAAGCGAAAGTTGGTCAAAACTTAAAGGATGATATCAGAAGATGTAAACTGATACGTGAAATGATAGGGAACGAGAATAAATTGATGGTGGATGCGAATCAAATCTGGGACGTTAATGAATCAATAGAGTGGATGAAAGAACTGGAACAATTTAAACCGATTTGGATCGAGGAACCCACGTCGCCAGACGACATCTTGGGCCACGCGAAAATCGCTGAGGCGTTAAGACCACATGGTATCGGTGTTGCTACCGGTGAAATGTGCGCCAATCGTGTTATTTTTAAACAATTATTACAAGCGAAGGCGATCGATTATTGTCAGATCGATTCAGCTAGAATCGGAGGAATTAATGAAATTTTGGCTGTCTATTTTATGTGCAAGAAATTGGGAGGTGAGTTGGGTACAGACGGACTATTAGGTTTCCAGAGAACTGCAGGATAGTCTACAAAAATTTTTGTTGCAGTGCCTGTGTGTCCACATGCTGGAGGAATAGGTCTCTGTGAGATGGTTCAACATCTTCAAATGTGGGACTTCGTTTCTCTGTCTGGATCTACTGATGATCGTGTAATAGAATATGTTGACCAGCAACATGAGTACTTTGAGCACCCAGTGAGAATTCACAATGCTTGTTACATGCCACCGATGTCTTCAGGATACTCTACTAAATTAAAAGATAACTGTATTAAAAATTACATACACCCTGATGGTATACAGTGGAAGCAAATGTACGAGAAGGGACTTTTCCAAAAAATATCTTGCTGAAGTGGACATTTGGTTAAAACTATGGTCTATTAATTCAAATTGATTGTATAATTGTTGTATTGAGAAAAATGTACATTTTACAAAAAAGACCAGAAAAATCAATATCTTTGAAAGAACAGCACCTGAGTTAATTAATTTATGGAATATTAAAAATTATGTATTGCTTACATGTTTATGTAACAAAAGTTTACCATCCCATATATTAGATCTTCTAGTCCTTTAACCAGTTCAAAATATCTTCTAAGAAGATTCTACTGGTAATAATAAGTTATAATACACAACATGTATTAACTACAGGGATTCAGTTGTGATTTCACATAATCGGTCTGTAAAGTATAATAGCCAATGTTAATAAAGTAGTTGACGATAAATGACTATATATTATATATACGTACACTGACAAACCAGTAGGAGCTATGTGTGAAAAGAAGCTTGTTAATAAAGCTCATATTCTCTATTGGAGAAATAACATGCAAATGCAGATGGTCTACTGTATTAAATGGTGGCCAATGGAATCCAGTACGAGTGGCTTCGGGATCAAGTCCTTGCTTTTCTAATATCAGATCCATAGTAGAGATCATTTTGGCATCTAAAATTTCCATTGTTCTTATAGTAGTCAATAAAAATCTTACTTTACAAGACTTACAAAGTTCTGAATCTTCGACTCTAAGTTCTTTGGCATTTCGTATGTGCTTATTTGGCAGTATCAAATAGTGATGCGTTGAGGCCGGTTTAATGTCCTTGATGCACGTTACATAATCGTCCTATAAAACAATCGTTTTAATGTATTTTGTATTATGACAGATCAGGTTAAGATCCTTGTACCTCGTAAATTTTTTCACTTGGTGCTTTATTCTCTATAATTTTACAAAATATACAATTCTCCTTATGGGTCTCCATATGGTAATTGCGACAGTTACGTTGTCATTCAATGCAGAAATTGAATTTGTTACTATGTTTCACTTTGAACTTTGGAATTTAATTTAATACTGATTACCTACTCCAACCTACTCGACCGGTTGACGTGTATCTTCTACGTACAAGGTGATTCAAAATGTTTGGAAGGAAAGAATGTCGGACCATGTACACGTACTTTGCTCGAGTTTTTATATATGTATAAAATAATATTGAAATTCAATCCAGTAGATAAAATAAATTTACTCCAGTAAAAAGAATAAATTTAGAACTTAAAGCGATCTTCACTTTACAATTCCATTCACTGAATGCTAAATGTTTTTTAAAAAATTTAATTTTTTAACCAATGAAGTCACAAATTATGAATGTAATTCAAAACTATAGAATGGATCATAATGGAAAACTACTTATTTTTAGTTACTCTTGATAGTCATTGTGAAATTGAACCCAAGAGATGTGGATATTAAGCAAGCCTGTTTTTTTTTTAATTGCATTACTTTTTAATTTAAAATATATAAACTGTACATATATTTATAAGTGGTATATATATATATATATTCATGTTTTTATATGTAATAGTCGTGAGCATGATAAATTAATAATACATTTAACATATTTTTACAAGTGGCAGTTTAGACAAACGAGAAGATCTCTGCTTTCAAGAAACGATGAAATTCACAAAAGCCCTGCTTTATATCTTTATTTTCTTGTTCACGTTTATTAAACGAAATTTCTTGTCTTCTATATTTAACGTATTCTATTCAGTCCTTTCTAAATAAAAAAAAATGCAACGTCGTACCGCCTACTAAAGATATGCAACGAATGTCTAAATGAAATTACGAATGAGAATGTAACCCATTTTTGTTTTAAAATAAATAAAGTATTGATTCTCGATTTACATTCACACATTAATTGTTTGTCAAATTATTTTAAAAACTAAGTTTCAGAGATCGAAAGGAGTACTCCGCGATTCAACTAAAATATGTTTCATTCGCGATTTGATAAATCATTCTAACATAGATACACGTTTACCTTGCATTTTCGATAACGTTATCAAACATGTGACTTTTGGGGTTACGTATTTTAATTTTGTAAATATAGAAGAATCATGGCGCAGTGTGTGCGTACCAATGTGTACAGTGTCCTCAGTGTACATGTGTGACCTGTACTCTTTTTTTTTTTCAATCCTACCTAAACATTTGACAAATAAACAAATTCTTTATTCATATACGGAATAGCATTGTTCACGCCTTCCCAAGACGCACCGATCTCTCGGTCGCGAGTACAAAAACGAAGCTGCATTTTAAGAACAAACAGAATAAGACGGTCGAGAGAACAAAGGGAGAACAGAACGCGTTAATAAGAATTTAGTTATCGATCGATTGTGTCCCGTTATTTAAATTTTAGTTAAAAGATATCCGTTCATAGAATATTTTATATTCTCTCGCTTATCGACCCCGTGGGCGACTTACACGCTACAAGTAGGTTTTACCGGGATTCACCCCCGACTGTACAAGTGTTCTTTATAAATAATTCTTATAAGTTAGAATTAGTCTACGTTTTTTTCGGTTCGACATAAAAATCATACAATGTACACAATATTGCCTTAAAACGGTAATCCACCTTTAATACTGTGTGTCCCCCAGCCCTGTCATCTCCCCGACGGCCCAATCGCTTGGCCCCTTTCGCGAGTTTCTCGCAGATTCTTGAACGAATCTTTCTGCAACAAGTTTTGGTCGGTGGCTCTATTTTCCGTCCGCGGTACGATCTTTTATTTTATCCATTTCGACGAATCCGCACGAGCAACGGTTAGCCCAGACGAATTCAATGTTTAAGTTAACTTAACGCTCTAATAGAGGGGTAAGTTTCAGCTGCCTTGGTAGGGCATCTGATCCGGAACGACGGACGAATGATTCTGATTCGGACTCTGATGGAAATGCGGATTGCTACCGTCTTGCGACATATCGCCGACCGACGGTTCTTCGTACTTCCCCCTTTTGAACCGACCGTACAACGACGAATAGGGTAGATTATAATGAATAGCTGCTTGATTGATGCTCATGTGACCTAATCTAAAACATAGAAACAAACCACGTTCTCCATAGATTGATAAAATTAATTATGTTCTTCAAGATTTTCTCCTGTTACGATCTTCAATGTTGAATCATTCTGGCTACCACAGACAAATGGAGAAAATGAAATACCAGTGGAAAGATACAGTCGAGCACACAAGTGACGATTTAATTTATCTTCTCCCGATGACAGGTTTGAAGACAACAGGTAAAATATATAAATGTTCTTCGAAAGTTTAGACTTTTAGTCTTGAGACGAGCGTGTGCAGATTAAACTTGGGTAGTGATCTATTCAAGTATGAAGAGTTGTACGTGTAACAGGGCAAAAAGAAGTTTTACCTGACAGCCTCGAGAGCTTCTGTCATAGCATCCTCGCTCCACGGCGTGGGATTACTCCTGCTCAGCTCGATTCCTTCCCTCTTACATCTACCATACAAGGTACCCGTTGGTATACCGAATTCGGTGGAGGCTCTCTGCACGGACGTCTGACCGGACCTGATCGCTTCCAGTGCGCGATCCAGATCGGCCGGCGACCATGTGGTCGGACTTGCGTTGAAAGGCGCGGCTAGCCTGATGCCTTCCCTCCTCGCGATTTTGTACAACGTGCTCGACGGTATACCGAACGCTTTCGAGGCCTTGTTCGCAGAGATCGTGCCGGTTCTGAGCGCCTCGAGAGCGTTGTTGAGGCTCTCGTCGCTCCACGACTTCGTCGGGCCGTCCTTTTTTGGTGTGTCTATGCCTAACCGGTGCGCTCTTTGCCATAACGTCGTCGATGGTATACCGAAAGTTGCTAAAATTGACGAAAGATTGAGCTGATTAGCTACATAATGTAATCAACTTTCCATGAAGAATAACACATGGCCATAGGAGAGGGATTGGTTAATACATTTGGATAATAACGTTGCTTATGGGATGAGCAGAGATTTTTTAAAGGTATCATGCCGTTGTCAATTACCGGAGGCTTTCGTCAGGCTCATGTCATGGTTCCTCAATGCTTCCAAAGCGGCGTCCATATCCTCCTGGGTCCACGATTTCGATCCGTGATGATGGGAACTCGACTGCCCGGAATGGCCCCTCGAGTTGTTCTCACCTGAATCCGAGTGCACGGAACTTCCAGACGGCATTAAACCGAGCAGCTCAGGCGTGATCATCATCATGTTGTCGCTGTCCGCTGCGTTCTTCGAACTGACGCTCGCCCGATCGGACATGTGGCTGTCTATGTCGATCGTGTCCGTAGAGTCCATCGTGTGCAACGTCTCGAACTTTATCTTCACACTGTCACAGTTCTGAATCTCTGCAACCAATCAACGGCGAACGGTGATATCCTCGGTATCATTTAGATCGGTTGGAGGACCGCGATACAGAATCGATAAACAGGGTGGGCTGTTTTTATTGTTCACAACCGAACCACCTGGATTTCGCGGAAAGAAACGGGCGACAGTGGCAAAGCTAGATGCGTGGACTAAATGAGGTTGCGTGGGCTGTTACGAACCGAGCAACGCAAATCTAATCGCGACCAGTTAAGCCTGATTAGACCAATTATTTTGATTCCCTCCCTGTCTAACGAATGGCTGCCGCGGCTTTTACTCCCCCTGGGCGATCTCCACCACCGTTATAATGGAACGTGTAATACTACCCCTGGCGAAAAGTGTTCGGTTGCAAAATTAACGTCATTACTTCAAAAATAATTTCTACACGCATCAAAAGCAGAGACTAGAATGTACAGAATACAGAAATGAAACAAAATCACTCAAATCTCATCCGGCCTCTTCTGACTCGAGATTAATGGTTCGTCTAGTCAAACGACGTAAATCAGAGATTTCAAGTTTCACAGCTCAGCAACGTACAGTTATTACTGTTGAGTCAAAAGATCTTTTGATTGGTAAGCAGTGAACCGGACTACGAGCAGACTCCAGCATATTAGTGGGGTACACAAAGCACGTATGAGTGTCAGTGTGTCATTCGACCCCCTGATGAAGCTAGCTGCAATGCTTGCGAAACGTTGGGAAAATGATTCCACCAGGACACGGCTTACACCCGAAAGCCTCAACAATATTAACTGTACGAAACGTAAATAGTTAACTTCTACACAGGAAGTAGTATTAACCCTTTGCACTCCGAGCAATTTGTACTACGAGCAACCAGCTACTCCAGGACTATTTAATTTTAACACACAATTATACATGCAATGTAACAGTTTGCAAGGACGACGTCGGAGTGCAAAGGGTTAAACGTTGATAGTAACTATAGCAATTACTAATTGTAGTCGAAACGAGCGTAGGCACCTGTCGAATGATGATCCGGATCTCTTAGGTGGGTGATCGTAGTGCCAACCAGAGTCGCACTAGGTGGGGTGGGTTGAGTTTCCGGGGGTAGATCGACCTCCCCAGGATCCGGATGATGTCCATAATGGCCGAGCCCTGTATGACAGAACATGTCGCCTTCAATTACAAGTGAAAAGAGTCTGTCCTGTTGTTTCTTGAAGTGGCGAACCGCCCCACACCTTGAACCCCCGTTGCATAACATTATATTTCTCGAAAACGAAAAGAATTCTATTTCATTCCACTTTGAGATCGGATCACTTTAAGATCACCATCATTGCGAGTCAATATTCCATTTCAAACGACGAACACAAACGACAGAATGGTTGTGCTTGAGACAACCCTGGTTCTCTCATCAGCCTACGTACACACCAAGGTACACGAGGGTTCAGGTGTGGGGCGTAGATCTGGATGAATAGACTTACCGTTGTTATTGTTGTTCGTACCGTTACCGCTGTTGTTATTGTTATTATTATTGTTGTTCCGTTGGCACGTTTCCAAGACTACTGTTGCGGTTGTTCCCTCCGTGCAATCTTCATCTTCGGCCTGCCAGTCTATGTGATTCTGTAAAATATCCGGGTACGAATTTAGCATAACCGTGGGACGACGTCTTTTGACCTACGTCTATTTTTCTCGTGAACAGGCGTCACGTACACACCAGCTTCTATACATTTTTAACACAAACTGACCTCTTTGTTCTCCGGATTGTAATCCTCGTTCGATTCCTCCTCTTTGTATCGGTCGTAATGCCTCGAGTCGGTCGCGCGAGGCTCGAACGTGGTCCTCGCTCTTTTGTATCGAGGATGATGCCTCTTCAGCTTCGCGAAATTTATCCTGGGTGTGCCTGGTTCCCGCGGTGGCGAGCTCAGGCTCACCGACGGCGGACCGTCTCTGCTTTCCGGGACCTCGCAGAGGCCCTTTATCTTCAGCTGGTCGGCCGTTTTCAATAGCGACTACAACATAATCACCAAACACCAAATATGAGTTCTCTAACTTCGTTCACATACACATCATTAATTTCGTAATGTTTCAGGAGTTTCGGAATTGTGCACGATGTTCTCTATGGATCGTTCAGGAAAATGGCAATACATTATAACATTACATTGCTGTACGAGAGTTTCATCGAAGATGTGATCGCCTTCAGGCAGCTGGTATTGTAGCTACCAGTAGAGTAATAACGTCCCATCGACATCGTGACGAAATAAGGTCGTGATATTGAAAAAATTTACTCCAACATTTGCCGCTATGTTGATAAGGCATTCTTTACTAGACGACCTTCCTTTATGTTCCCCTCCGAAGGTCCACACACCATGGGACAGATAACGAGGTCGGTCCACATTTCTGTTCCTGGAATCCGAGAGTCTGTCGGACGGGTTTGCATTTTTATATGCTGCTTGGCTTGGACTAGTTCCCTCGGAATGGGGGGAGATACATAGCGACTTCAACTTATATCGGGGCTGGGGGTAACGAGTGTGGGTATACCGTATCGAAATATTTCCGGAAATTGCAGCGATTCGACGGTTCAAAAAAAGGCGCGCGCGAATAGCTGGGACCATCGTCGCCGGTGGGATCGTGGCACAAGGCCGAATACGGAATAACCCATTTCGGTAAACCGCTTTCTGAGTGGAATAAAGAAGGGGACGACCGACCAGCCGGCCAGCCAGGCGGATTTGCATATTCTTGGTAAGCCCCCCTCTCCCCCTATCCGGTGTGCGTCTGTCTCATCCTTACGGTCCTGTACACCAACGAACACCACAGTATCATCTTGCAGTCGCCTTGGCGCGCGCGGTGGCTTGTTTCTAAAATCAGTTTCCACGATCCAGTTTCGGCGTGCAGCCGATTCATCGCGCGGCGTTTGGTGGCGTCGACCCGCCCGCGGTCGAGCCAACGGCGCGACGACGACCGTCCTCCCTGCGACTACTACACACCAAACCATCCATCCTCCCCCCTCCCCCTCTTCTTGGTGATCTTAACCTTGAAAGCGTTGTGCACGAGGGAAACACTGGCATAGAGGAAGAAGAAGACGACGAGAAGGAGGGACGAGCAGAGGAAAGCGAAGAGCTAAAGAAACGAAAGGATAGACGTTCAGGGTTACGAGAGGGGGTAGAGAGAGGGCCGGAAGAAGCGTTGGGAAACGGTAGGGGAAGAAGAGGAATAGATAAACGAACGAGAACCGACTTCCGCGTGAGACGGATTTGTCACGAGACGAATTTTCGAGAGGGAGGGCGTGGAATCCACGTGGGATCCCTACCAAAAGCATCCCTTTGGCTCTTCCGTTTCCGATAACGGTCCTTTAACGAGTTTCGGGGGTAAACGGAACTCCCTTCTCCGAGAGTAGACGCCAAACTCAGTCAGCAAAGTAGCGCAAACAATCTCGAGGAAAAATGGGAAATGGTGAAAGAATAGTGGACCGATAGAATCGGTGCAAAAAGTAAGAAAGGATATAAAAAAAATATATATATAGAAACGACAGATAGAGGAATGGAAAAGGGAGGAGGAGACAAGGGGGGAGACAGGTGAGGGGGAGGGACGAATGAACGAGAACCGAGGGCCGCGTTGAAGTTGAGGCTCTCTGTTCTTTAATCAAGGCAGGGGTGGTGCGATTAGGCGGGGTCGGCAAGGGGACAGGCGGTATGAGAGCGGCGGCGGTGGCGGCGGCGGCAACGACGCGAGTTTAGGCAGGCTGCGCGTCGGGGGTGTCGGTGGCGGCTGGAAAGCGGAGCGTGGGTGGAAAACTGGGTGGCGGGTGGGTAGGACTAGGTTCACAGCGGTATGGCCGGAGATGAAGAGAGAGAGTCGATGCCAACGACGGAAAGAGGGAGGGAATCTGACTGAGCTAGGCGATTGAGTGAGCAACTGAGGGAGCGAGAAAGAGAGACAAAAAGGGTAGAGAGGGGAAGAGAGTGAGATAGAGTGAGAGGTAGAGGCAAAAACGCCCGCAGGAAGAATGGGGAGGCCTCCGACGCGGCTGTCGCGGCCCCAGGGCCGTATCGACCACCCCCAACCCCCGATTCTCTCTACGGCACTCGCGACGGCACCGACACCGATGACTTCCAACCGTTTCCACGCACACACATCCGGGGTGCCCCTCTCTCGCTCTCTCTCTCTCTCTCTGTTGCTCCACGCATCCTTCTTTCCTTCTCTGTCTTTCACATAGCTACCATCTCTCTCTTTTTCTCTCTTTTTCACCCCCTGCCGGTGCTTGCGAACGGATACGTATAACCGCGTCGAAATGTCCGCGAATCTTCGGGGGCTCGACAATCCGTGAGTTTCGGTGGTATTGGTCGCAGCAGAGCAGGGTGATCGAACTTTCATGTCGGACTCGCGTGTCGCGGCGGCGGTGGCGGTGGCGGCGACAGCGATGGCGCGACGATTCCCAGACTCGAGTAATTAGGACCCTCGACGATACTTTATTTTTCTCTCTTTTTTTTTTACAAGATTCTCCCAGATTGTGCAGCATCGCGATATCAATGAGCACGGGGAGTCGGTTGTAGGAGCGGTCTATGGGTGTGAAGTCTTCCGCTAGGACACAACCGATTCCTCGTTGACACTCCTTGACAAGCGTGTCTCTGGGGAGTACCTGCAAATATCTTTTGAGACAAGTATTGTTTAATAGTAATTACGATAGTCATTGGTTTCGGAGAGCGATGAATTCTTGGTTACAGTGAATCCTCGATGAATGCTCGATAGCTCCTCGGCACTGAATATTAAATATTTCATAAACTAATGGCCGTATACGGCTGAAACAAATATCATTGACTTCGGAATTCCAAGTTCTATCGCTGTGCTAAATCATATTAGAAAATCAGCGTTACACCTGGGGACCTGTTCTTGTCAGTGCCGAAGAGTCTTCGAACACTTATCGAGAATTTACCGTATAGAATTCCTAAGAAGAATACTTTGGTAAGAATAAATAAAAGGGGATGTACAAGATGATACTTGTTTTGATAAATGGTTTGATCGCGGTTCAAATGAAACAGGAAAGAGGGATGGGACACAGGAGGTAGGAAGACTGGTCCAGTGGTTTAACGACACGACAACGGCGATGACGACGACGCAGGGACTTGGAGAACCACGGACGCCACGCAATGGGTTGGTAGGGTAGTGCGGGTGCCGGTGCAGGGGTTAGGGAAGCCGGGCGGGTAGTCGGTTGGTTCGGCGGTGGATGCATAGGGGTGGTGCCATCGGTTCGGAGGCAAGAGGGAAAGCCACCGGCAGAATCCAACCTCACCAATCAATACTTAGGGTTCAAGGGCATCGCCCGACCAATTATCCCAGACTAATTGACGCGAGACGGGAAGAGAAAAAAAATTCAACCCCAACGTCGTCGGCCACTTCCGATCTCTGCTCTTCTGTAGACGACGACGACGACGACGACGTCACCTTCCACGAAACGATCACGAGAATCTTCCTGGAAAGTCGGTGACCAGCCCGACAGATCGCCAGAAAAACTTACAGGAAGCTCTCGATATGGAAACTGTTTCCGCGTGACGAATGTATTCCCTTCGATTTAGATTTCACCCCCCTCCTCCCGCCACACACTATTGGAATGTCCAGCTCGAGAAGGCGTCGTGGCGCCAATGGATCGACGATTCTCCCCCAGGGAATCGAACGTGAGGATAACAGGGGTGGTAGTAACGCGTGTCCTGAGCGCGGGAAAAAAAAGCGTAAGAACCACGGCGAAATGGGGGGAACGAAGAGAGGGGTTGAAGCGTTGAAAGATCTTCGCGTCGAGGCGGAACGGCGACGTAGGCGGGTTGTGTGTGGGATTTCTTTCGTAGGAAGAAATAAGGGGGCGATAGAACGAGAAGTCCAACAGGTGTAAATCCGCAAAAAGATCGACCGTGGAAAACCGTTTCACGAGAACAGGAAGGACGCGCGATGGGGGTGGCTCGAGGGGGGAGGGGTGGGGTTGGTCGTCTCCGTAAGACCGTACCAGGAGACGGTATAAAGGTACATTATACAGACATACCGATGGTGGAAGTGAGACAGAGCTAGCTCGTGAGATGCGGGAAAGACGGGAGAGCAAGAGAGAGAAAGAATATATACACGGGGGGAAGGGGGGCAGAGGGAGAGGATATGAAAGAGAGAAACGAGGAGGAAAGCGGAGAGGAGAACGCACAGGGGAATCCCCGAAGATGGTCGTAGGGTCTCCACTATTACGAATACGGCGCCATAACGGAATTGATAATGTAACGGGCGTCACGAGCATAACCTTCCTCTCTTCTTCTTCCACGCTACATAACCTCCTTTCTGAATGGGAAGCGCGACTCTGGGCCGCACCACGTGCTCTCACCCTCGAGCAAACGCGAGAGAATACGTACCGATGCAGAGGGTTGTGGGTATATTTTCGTTGCATATCCACGTCAAAATAATCAACCCTACGGGAATCTATACATTTTCTTTCTCGAACAGTTTCTCCACGTCTCGATCAATTACTCTACCGGTCAGTTGAAGATAAAACCGTTTAACGAACATTATTCTACTTCCTTTTTCTTCTCACGCTTTAATCTGTTAGTTAGCATCTATCGCGGATATAATAAGTAAAGTACATTCTTTAGTTTTAGGGATAACTTCGATCTACCTCTACGAAGATATGTTCTGCTTTATAAACTGGTTTCTATACGTGTCTCGTCGTACGCTGGATTTCGATGATGATCGACAAAAGCCATGCTCCCGATTATCTAACAACCACACACACATACAAACACAGTTCACCAGCCGGCAGAGATAAGACGTGCGTGACGGGAATGTTTACGAATGTGAAGCGGAGAAGCCTGATAATGTGGATGGCGCAGTTTTCGCAGGCGTTCTAAAGGATTCTCGTGTGGCACGAAGCGACGGAACAACCACCCGCGAAAGAGAGAGAGCTTCTCAACGAAAGAATTGACTTCCGAGTACGGTCGAGCAGCCGGCTAATCGCGAAACGTGCAGGTAAAAAAACCGTATTCCA